GAGCCTTCTATGTAATACATGGCAGGTAGCACCAGCAGGTTAAGAATGTACGACTTGTCTAAGGGATCAAAATGCTTATCATGACGTCACCACCCACCCCTGCGCATAGCAGGTACCGCAGCCCCTGGGCTAATGGAGATCTCCCTTTGGCTCAAGAGGCTGGGTCCCTGTTGAGTGATGCCGGAGGCCCGGGTTTGAGTCCCTGACGGTGGGGGGCCGACCTGATGCGGCAGCGGCGAGGGTGCCCACGCGGACCCTGTAGCGTTACAATATTAAATATAATTCAAAGCTAAGTTTCAAGAAAGGTGCTAAATGCCTTTTTAGACCTGGTGTGTTCTGGGAAGTTATTCCATAATCTTGTAACAACAGAACAGGAAGAAACAAGGGCAAAGTTCAACTAGTGCAAATAACATGTAGGTTAGATGTAACAGTTCACTGTTGATAGTTCGTGTCAGTATAGTGAGAAGACAAAGACATCTATCAATTTTCTAACTGCATTACCCAATCCAGGGTCGTGGGGGAGCCAGAGTCTATCCCAGCAAGCAACGAGCACAAGGTAGGATTCATCCTGGACAGGGCACACACTCACACCAGGGCCAATTTTCTCAGAAGCTGCACTGTAGGAGGAAACTGCAGTACTTAAAGGAAACCTATCCGAACACTGGGAGAACATCCAACTCCACACAGATACCGTAGCACTCCAGGAATTTAAATCCAGGGCCCCAAGGCTGTGAGGCAGAAATGCTTAGTATTCCACCACTGTGACACCCATGAACAGCAGTGTTTTGAATTTTATTCTGTAATCCTGTGGGATCCAGTACAAGGAAATTAAAGCTATGCTCATGCATTTTAGCTTTGGATAAAATTTGAGCAGCTGAGTTTATACACAATGCAATATTTGTAACATATTTGTAGACCAGCAAGTACTATTTTACAATTATCAAGCCCTAAAAAGACAAAATAGCATATTTTTTGGTCTGAACTTTACATAAAAGTATCATTTTAAAGTTTTGTGAATGAATTTATGACAAATTGTCAGTTCATCTTTAAGCTTTTGGATCTACAGTGTTAAAACTCTGATGTGTAGAAAACTCCCATGGGCTTTTGGTTAGCATTTCATCGACAGCAACCTCAGTACCCATGCACAGATAGCAGGTGACATTGATGGCTATAAATCTCCAGTTTATTACAGTTTATACTATTATTAATAAAACAACAACTAATTATAATAGTAATCAAAATTATGAATATAATACCCTTGAAGAATACCATTCTTACAATAAAGTGTCCCCACTTCACCTTATTAGGGTGTTTGTTTGGAAATTCTAGTCCAGAGGGAAGCATGCCAATTACTGCTTCATCTGCACCACTTAAGGTTTAAATTGAAAAACTTGTCAGGATGACAGGAGCTGAAAGAAAGTACGCCAATTGTTTTGATACACTTAACAACACATGGTGCATGAAGCTAGATTTTTCAGAATCCCTTACAATCGTCAAGAGAATGATTCAGCATTGTCATCAACAAACCCTTGGCACAGTAGAAAACAAAATTCAGAAAACAAAATCATATATTTGTACAGTCCTCTGAACATATAAGGTGATCTCATTTCACACACTTTGGCAAAAGCAGTAATACATGTTGGTAAATCCATAGCATTCATCCAATGATGATACAGTGTGTAGAAATAGAAATAACAGTGATAACTAACAATACTGCAAATTTGCAATGAATTCTGACGGAAGAACAGAGTTATAACATCAGAATATCTCAGACATATCCTCTGATCTGTGAAGAGATTCTGGTAACAAATTATATTGTTAAGATCATCAATTGTCCTGAATTCATAATTAATGCTGAGTGAATCCTCCACTATTTTGAAATGTGACTGAAATAATATACAGTACATGGTAATCAGTGTTAAGTGAGAGAACACTTCACTAATTATGGACGTTTTGATGTCACTGTAAGATTATAGCAGTTTTCAATTATGTAGTTTTGTCATGTAAGAGAACATAAATATTCATAATGAAATATAATAACTACTAATGACTGCTGAATAGCTGCCATATTCTGGTACTGATATTATATAAAAGCTTAATTAGCAAAGAGCTCACCCCATTTTGCATTAATGGGTGTTACGACATACCAATTTGGTGAAATGATGTCAAAGAAAAAGGAGGCTAAAGAATAAACTTCACTCTACCCCTTGTAATGTTTGTCTTGTACTGTATGTGGAGTTGTGCTTTTAAAGTGTTCTACTATATCCGTACATAATATCTCGGAAACATAAAAGCAATTATGCACCATCTGGTGGAGACTATGTGTAATCCTAATTTTTATCACAAGCTTGTTGCAGAATATTCATGAGTGCTTGTCTTTCACTTCCTTAAAATGCTCTTTTAAAAGGGACAAGGACTCACGATTTATGATTTGTAGTGTTACTGTAATTACACATGAACTAGCAGCATCAGTTCTATATTCACTGATTATATACATATGTCACCAAAAATGCCATGAGAAAGGGAGAATTCATCAGTTTTCTGAAAAGCTTTATCCAATACAGGGTTGTGGTACCTATCCCAGCAAGATCCTAAGACACAGTACATGTCCTAGAATATGCTTACTCCCTCTGAAATAACCTTATTTCCCTCTGGGTTAACTGATATGACTGATGTAAATAAATGACTGATTCAAGCAAAAATATCACATTTTAACTATATGTTCTGAAGCATACTTGTTACTTGTATGCTTTCATGCTTAGTTGTATGGTAAAAAAAGGTGCTGTCCTTCAGATGACATATACAACCAAGGTCCTGACTCTCCCTGGTCATAAAAAATCCCAGGTACACTGGGGTTGTGTACATTGGGAATATTGAGTTCTCCAGATACAATATGAATGCTGGGTACAGTAAATTGGGTCCCTTGATTATATTGAGTACATCAAGTACATCTACTGTAGTACATTGGATACATCAGGTACATTGAGTACACGGGTACTTTGGTATCTATGGGTATTTTCTCAGATATGATTTTAGTTTAATGTCACTGGTTATGTTTCTCTTGAATATAACAGATTAATTCATTTACTATCAAAAGAATGACAAAACATGGTGTTGGTGCTACATAGGGTATATACAGTACAGTATGTTTACCCAGTTTCTTAAAACAGAACCTTAAAAAAGCAAATTTACTGTATAACCCAAATGTATGATCTTTGTCTCTGAAGCACTGGGTCTCTTCTCTAGACTTTAGAATCACTAGGTCTACTTTGTTTATCACTAAATTGTTTTTTAGTTGTGTCTGTGCAACTCTTTGACAGGAAGGTTCATAGTTCTTGTCGCCTTTATAGAGTGACAGAGACAAAGATGTCTCAAGGGGGGGGTGCATGGAAACTTATTTGTAAGCACGAAATGATGAGCACACATACCCTAATATCAGATAGCATGACTTACATGGCACTATATCAAAAAACAAAAGTGTAGATCAATTATTTGCAGAATCATTCCTGTAGAGCTGTAGTACACTGATTAGGGAGAAAATAAAATATATTCTGCATATAAGAAAATATTAATTTGCCACACTACCTCAATAGGAATTTGCTCAAATAACAGAAAAACAGAAAATGTTAGTCCACATTATCACAGCTTAGTAATCATTACCTTTTTATCAAACTCAATGATGTTTGCTTGAGATATATTTGCACAGAGAAATGTAATTTGTAATACATTGCACATTGCACTAGGCGTCTTTTACAATAGGAGCCTAAAAGGTTGGACATGCATAGCCCACAGGGTGCAAAGCAAAACATAATACCACAGATGATGTTAGGCTGTTTAGCTCCATGATATTTCTATGACCTTTACAGAAACCCCTGCACAAAACTAACAGTTCCCTACACAGTTCTCTGTGGATTCCATTTCAGTCGATCCCTGCTGTCCGCAACATTTACAGAAATGTCCCTTTTCTATTTATGACTAACCCTGTAGTAAAACCTCAAGACTTTTTAGATACCTGTGTTTTTTTTCCTCCCTTCAGATTAAGATGACTTTATTTGTGAAAAGTCATCTGTAATTTTTGCATTTGTTTTCCATCCAATTTCTAGGATCTGTATCGGTGCATTTACATGTTTTTAAATTACAAATATCTTGTCCAAACACAAGCAGTAAGAGTTAAAAAAGTATTTGCATATGCACTAACACAACCAAAGTGGGTGAACAATTTAACCCTAAATGGTTATAACATCCATACATCACTAAATTATTGTGATCCTGTCATTTAATTGAAAGCAAATGCAAATTTATAATTCAAACTGGTAAAAGTATGAAAGAATCGGGAATATGTGTGCTATGCCCACACAACTTCATCATAATGAATCCATTTTCTGAACGTGTTGCCAAACGTTCTTAACCGTGAAATTAGTATATGTTTTCTACACCATATTTTTCCATCCATAGTTGTTGGGAAACAAACTAAAAGTATATTGCTAGAGAAAGGCTATACTTTTCCATTATGCTCACATTGTTCTTTTTGATGCAGTTGGGTCGATTGAGTCGCATGAGCCAAACAAATAACACTGACAAATACTTTAGTCCCTTTTTTTTTTATATAAAAGCACAGTATTGTACAGCTTGTCTGGGAACATTATTTCAGTATTGCCAAGATTGGGAAACTTAGACAGAGTTTCTTATCTTCTGCTTATGGCATTTGAACAGATATTTTTGACCAAGAAAATATCCAAATTCTGTGGTACATCCTTTGATATTTTGTAGGGGACTTTATATGTATAAATATCACAAATTACCACTTCAAATATCACAGTATGGTATTAAATATTTTACATTAAAATATACTAAAGTTTCTTTCATGTGTTATATCCGCCGTTCTGCAGCATCTCTGAGCCCAAGGTTGTCCTGGGGAACCAAAGCATTTTCACGAGAGCTCACAGTTTCCCATCAGTCAAAAATGTAACAGAAAGGCAGAAAGAGAAAAAAAACATATGAACGTTTTATAGAATTTATTACCAATGTTTCAAACACTTACATTTCAATACATTATTATTCTTTAAGTCTAATGGGGTTTCCTTAAACTTCATATATTTAAACAAAAATAATCTCTGACTTTAAAACAACAATGTATTAAAAGACAAAAACAGTCTGTACATTAAAATACTGAGAAAAGTAACCATGTAACTCAATACTGAAAAGCACTTTAAATATTACTGAACCAATTGCGACAGGACCTCCCAATACTCCAGAAAAGTGTCTGCAAGATTAAAGCTTTTTAGTCAAAACAGTATACCTTAAAGAAAATCAGACTTAATTCTTTATTCTTACAGTTTAAAAATCTTATCAGCATAAAATGTCTCCATAGTAAACAAAATGGGCATCAGGACACATTGATCTTCAAAAAGAGTAAAATGTTTTATTATTTATATACAAATCGACACTAAAATAAATAAAATAATGATCATAATTTTATAAATATAAAATAGTAACAATAACTTATTTTTATCCACCACAAAAGCTATCTTCCCAGTAATTTAGCTCAGAAACCAGGTTTTGCATTTATCATATTTCATTGTGTTATGGCTATTTTAAATCTTTTAGTAAATTTAATTTCATTGCCAATTTTGCCTATTATGGTTTAAAGAAATCAGTAAAATGCCTAATTACATTTAGCCCATTAATCACAACCATGATATTTAATTTTTACTTGTTGAATTGATAAATCATTGAAAACATTTTTTGCAGCAGGCAAGTATCGATACTATTAAGGTAATAAAATCAATTATCTTTGATAGACTTCAAGAAAAAAAACTGGACAGTTAAAATAAGCTAAAATGTAATTGTCTGATACATACCTTAGCATTAGGTTTTATAATTCCTTATAATAGTATGTTAAATTTTATTTAAAAGTTTATTTTCTGTTTCTAGGATATACCATATGAATACCATATCTTTGTGTTAACCAAATACTACTGAATAGAAATGTTATTTGCCATCACTTCCTATAGAAATGCAATTAAATAGAACTCCCATTATCACAGCCATTAGGGTTATGCATTGCTGGCATAAAACACTAAATTAAGTAATCACAGTCATTCTGCAAATGCCCTGCTTTTACTGAATCGACTACCCATAATTCTGACACAATTTTAAACTTCTTGGTAAAACATCTTCTTAGACTTTTCAAATCTAACACATGGGCTTGGTCACTCACAATAACATGAGAGATCCCTTCCTCAAATTTTGAGGTTACATGCGCTCCATGAAACCTGAGCTCTAGAGCCCGAATGTCCAAACTCGATCCGTGGATTAAGCTGCTTAAATCTCCAATGACAGCATAGCGATCTACATAAACTCTCAAATGCCTGAACATGGTGTTTGTCAAAGTATCCCATGAATACCTTGATTCTATATCAGCAATGTCATACAAAGAGGCTTTTTCATCTACTTCCGTTTTACTAATCCTGCTGAAGACCTCCTTCAGTTCTTTCTCATCTGTGTCTGCATAATAGCTATCCCCAAAGCAATCATACTCTGTTGCAAAGTGTTGTTTTGTGGATGGGGACATATGGATCATGTGACGAGGCTGCCATGGCACACATTCTTTCTTCTCCAAGCACTCCAAAAGCCACTCTGTCTGGACTACATCATACTCGTTTGCTGAAATTAGATTTTTCACCCTCACATTTTGTACACCAGCAATTACACAGTAAGTATCTTTGCCAGGATTCTGAACTATGACTCCCCCGCACTGGGCCACTACTTTTTCGAGGTCTGCCTTTGCGTACTTCTCATTTCCACTCATGACACAAAACTCCACATCCTCAAACATATCTGAAACTTTGCTTACGCAGGAAAGATCCTGGGACTTCAAGTGATCAATTATACCAATGACCTTCTTAGGTTTTGACACAACTTTTCGTTTCTTCTTGTCAGGCTCATCACTTAAATGCACGTGACGGGATGCCAGCTTTCCAGAAGCCTTGTCACGGAAGAGGTCCAAATCTTTCAGCGTCATACACTCATACCACTCCTTGTCATCCCTTATTTTTTCTATCCTAGGAAAGCGCAAAGTGCATTCCGTTTTATACATGTCACTATCCACGATTTCAGCAGCCTTCACCTGGATTATCACTGATTTGCAGGGGTCAATGTAAACTTCTGGTTTTTCTGTTCCACACAATACAGTAGCTGGTGGATCCTTCTTACGGTAGGGCTTCCAGTACTTTGCCAGTTTCAGGCCCAGGTCATAAAGTTCTTTCATTGTATAACCTGAACCAACACGACAAAAAGAATGAAACACAGATGGCTTTTCACCATTTGCAGGCGTTTCAGCTACAGCGCACAGAAAATGAGACATCATTCCACCTCGAAGGCCTTTTCCCCAGTAACCTCCAACAATCAAGAGGTCAAGTTCATCCATCAGACCATCAACATATTCTGGCTTTATCTTGAGCCATCCCTCTCCTCGCTTATCTGGCTTGTAAACAGACAAAGGATCCTTTACCATGATTCCCTCTTCTCTTTTATCGATGGCTTCATTGAGGGAATCTATGACTTCCTGCTTGCTCCTTGCTTCAATTTTGGGTACAATGTGTATCCTTCCTGGAATGGGAGTCAAGACGGTTTCAAGAGTTTCATTTCGTTTTCTTAGGGTCTCGTGGCCCAGTTTCTGGTTGTTCACCAACAGAACGTCAAACACACAAAAACATGTCAGCAAATCTGAATCCTCCACCATTCTTTTGATGTCAAACTTGCTACCTTTTTGCATGAATGTCTGAGTAGTGGGATTATATGCCATCATCTCACCATCTAAAATGCAGCTTATAATATGGGACTTGAAGACATTGTGAATAAAAGGAGTCAAAGATCCTTCCAACGGAGAGCCCCCGAACTGCTGAGTGTAATCATACCCGTTGCGCGAGAAGTACTTATACACATCGCCATCTTTGTGAAGCTGCATGCGCTCCCCATCCAGCTTGGTTTGGATGTAAAAACTCTGGTTGTTCATTTGCTTTTCAATTTGCTTTATGTTTGCAACAGCAGCAAGCATGGGTTTAAATGCTGAAAACAGCCCAATAGAAACATTATTAAGAGAAACTGAAGGGTCGTGAAGTTCTCTGCATACTTTGTTAAGATCTGTGGTAACATTGTGCAGCTCTGTAGCATCCAAATGAAAGACACGGAAGACAGTTTCCTTACTGATTCCCAGTTTCATGTCTTTAAGGATCATACGGATAAGCCACTTTTGCTCCAAAGCTGAGCTTTGAGTGATAAGCTGCAGGAGATTTTTTTTTACAAGGTCCTTCCGTTTTCCAGCATTGTTGCTGGCAACGGAATCCAAGAAATCATTTACCTCTTTTATGGTTAGCGTTCCTTGGTCTGGGCACCTTTTCTTGATAACAAAGTAAGCCATGACAGCAAAGTCGCCTGCCTCTCCCTGTGATGTAGTGGGTGCTCTATAGTTTAGGAGTTTCTTCGCCTCCCCACCATCCTTCGGCAAGCCCAAAACTTCAATGTAAAGTTTGGCAAGCATGTTTTCCTTTATCCCATAAGCCATTCTCTCACGTTCCAGCTGCGGAAGAATAAGCCGCATCGCTGGGTAAAATGAATCAGTTGTGTTGGGGTCATTCTTGTGGAGCGCTGCATGGAACCCCCTCCAGGAATCTATAAAGTCTTTCAAGTGTCTTGTTTTCTCTGGCCTTGTTTTTGTTCGCTGAATTTTTTCTAAAGTTGTACACAAGTGTGCAAACGGAACTTGAGATGCAACTGTGTTCTCGGGCGCAGACAAGGATTGAGCTGCTTCGGCCATTCTCGAAACGATTCCTTCAAAGAACAAACATTTCAGTTACTGCACAAGGCATATACAAAATTTTAAACAATAATTCTGAAATAAGTTTGTGTAATTCGATATTTCCATTTATCCACTTTAGATGGGGAAAAAAAAAAACATTACATGTTGTTTACTTCGCAAATAAAACAGAAAGCCTAAAAATTAGGATAACTGTTGCTTACAAAAACAAAGGTAACCTATAACAAGCACTTTTTAGGAAGCTTCTTAAACTGGAATTATGTATGCAACATATACATGATGAATTTAGCAGGTTTCAGGATTTGCTCTGCATTCACAATATTGGCTCAATGGAAAAAAATCAAACCGAGTAAAAATAAAAAGCACTCTCACTTTGTACATTTATACCTGACATACTTTACATTTTTGTTTTAGACATAATTTAATAATAATTCTCTGTGTACCTCCTGCTGGTGACAACTATCTACAATATACTTGCATGCATTTTTAACTGTAAAATAAATCACAATAATTTAACATTTAATTGTTTAAATTAAAAAAAAAACACAGAAATGTGTATTTTCACTTTACTTAAACCTCATTGGACTGTTACCTGGATTTTTAAGATGTAAATTATGCCCCGTGTGTCACTTTTGTTGTTAAGAACTTAAAGGGGGACATTTTGGGGTTCTAAAGATTTGTCATTGATGAGTGCATTTCAAACCACAGGGATAGTACAAAGTAAACGATAATGCGTAAATCCTCCAATTAACATCACAAAATATACGTATAGTGTCATATTGCCATCATTGTCTGGGATTCAGACATTCATTGTAAACAAGGAAGCTTGTGAATACATCTCTTTTAATCCAATAGAAATATTGCTATTAGTCATCAAATTATACTATACATGAATAAGTGCAATTTAAATGAATTCAACTTTGAGACAGTTTTGTGGACAAATAATACTTACTTGTTAATTGCATGCAGATCACGCTGGAACATTTCTGCTGTGAAATGTATTTTACACAACTTGTACTTATTCTCTTGTACATTGCACTGAATCTCATGAAGAAACTTGTCAATGGGCCCAACATAAGTGCCTATGTTAATTACTCATCTCTTAGTTGAATATCCCCAGGAAAAGGAAACTTCAGACTTTCTGTTGACCCAAAGCTGCTGATCTCTGTGTGCAAACACTACGTTCAGCACAGTCAAATGCTCCACAGTGAGGCACCGTTTAAAGTATACAAGGGAGCTGAGAAAGCCAGAAAAGGATTAAAGTTGTTTGAAGACCAAACAACTTTGCTTCCAGGTACTAGTGATTATTAAGGGCCGTTTTTACGTCACAATTCATGTGAACTCTCGCCCTTGGCCAGACCAGCTGTTTGTGACAACATGGCGACCATGTACTTTCACAAAGTACACGCCTTTATGCTTAATTCGAAATTTGTAAAATTTTGCTATACCGTCGATAAATGTATTTTGTTACCGAGATTTCATACCCGGTCTGAGCAATTGGGACTGCAGTTCCCCTTTAAGAGGCATATTGGTGTTTGCAGGAGAAATAAGATGATGGGTTTTTAAGACTACATCAGCTCAATATACTCTATCACGTAATATTGCAATTTAGGAATTCACGCGCCATATTAAATTCTCTGCTAAGAACCGCAATAATCAACTGATAAATACATACACTCTTCTTAAAAATGTTAAATAACTGACAAATGTATTTTAGAACAGTATAATGCAGTACTGGAACACATCTAAAACAATTTAACAACCAACGTATTATACAAATAGTTATTGTTCCGTCCAAGACATGTCTTTGGACTTTCGTAAACAAATCATTTATCTGTCACAAATGGCAAAATAGGTACATTCAATAAATAAAAGAGTTTCTGGAGAGCCGACTTAAATAATTTAGAATACATCCTGATAGCTATAAATATCGATATGTAAGTTTAACATGTTAAAAACAAAACTTTAGAAAACACAAAGGCTACAAGAGTTTAAGAATTTACTGTAAAACTCAAATAATCGCAATTTTCGAATTTGAAAGATATACTTAACCAAACAAAGGCAATACCTACCGATTTCTTTATTTTATCTGGAGAAAATAATGTCTTGGAAAATTTAAAAAACACAACCTCTTCCGCCTACAGTAGTTGGAAACTAGAAAACGCAGGTGAACCACATAACCACTTCCGTGTTAAAACTATGGACAGGAAGCCGACTGCAGAAGAGGACCCCTTCCAACAGAAACAAACTGTAGCAATCCTACGAGCTGTACTTTCGGAAATAATAACACGTAATACAAAAAGAAGAATGCTACACATTAGTAAAAACAATGCTACATTATCCCTGTACTTCAGGTAAATTCATTTCTAGGCTCTGGTATCTCTTTTATTTGCCGTTTAGCGACTCTTGTACCCACTCGGAACTTTAGAAAAGTGACAACAACTTCCTGGGAGTCTCAGGAAACAGTACTGTATATAGCAGTAATTTTTGAAGACAACCAAAGATTAACAAAGAACATATATAAAACATACCTGTTCCAGGTGTTGTAATGGAAAACTGAGGATCAGGAGGATGAGAAGAAAGTAAGTCTACCTTTATCTGAACGTAGTCCCGAGTGTGTTTACTCCTTTACCTCAGGTTTACCAGGTTGGATCGCCAGCTGTTACACCGCAGCGTGTGGTCACTGCTATTTAACACAAAAGAGTACGATGATCCACTCTTTCTGCTTTGACGATTGTGGACTCTTTAATAAAACAATAATTTGCAAAAGCAGTGTATCCGTTGAAGCCGGCTATGAATCTCTAGGGTGAAAATATACCCTATCTTTTTATTTAACGCTGATTGTTTCAAACATGGCTTCATGTAGGTTGATGTTGTGTTTTTTGTTGCTGGGTCGCAACGATTCAACTGTCACATAACATTTTTCGGAAGTGTAACTGAAAAGTGTCAGGCTGATGATTGAAACTGTTACAGTCAAAATTAAGTTAACTATTTTTTTGTTCGCTATTCTGCTCCAAACGGCTGCCTTTTTAACTGAAGTGGGTAGTGCTTTCTGTAGTGAAGGGTCATGTTTTAAACTAATTTTTCTGCTGTCAGCTGAACCTAAAGTCAAATTGGTTATTAACTACATCTTGCTCAGATTGAGTTATGTCGTCTTTTATTACTGAAGTTGAAATTAAAACGTCATAAAATATGGAAGTCATTATTGAACATAACATAGTTTAACATTTTTAACTTCTTTCATCCCAATGTATTTGAAACATGTAGACAGCATAGTATCAAGGAATGCTCTTGTTGATTATACTTGTGATGTGTATTTGTTCCGTGCTCAGTTTCATGAAAGCAATACTGTAGTTTCAAGATTAAGAAATTGGAGGCTTTTGATCAATGCTTTACTTGTTAGTAAGGATTTTGTCATTCTGTGCCAAATTAATGTATCTTAATTTCACATTTGAATAGACCCTCATTGATTTCCATTTCTTTGATGTAAATGTCAAATTTTAAAATGTGCCTTTGATAGAATATCAGGCTACATAAAATCAAGAGTGGCTCTTTTTGTACATTCCAGATTGTGGGGCAATAATTGGTTTAATCTGATGTATTTTTTCTACATTCATTTGCCAGGATTGTTTGATCGGTATATTAATTAAAATGTAGCAATCTTATAATTTTTTTTAATTATTTGACTCAGAGATTGTAAAAAAAATTAAAAGCATAGCTTCACGTAGCAGTCATCAGTAGTTAATCCAACCTGTCCCTTTTTTGATATTGTCGTTAATAGAGGTCAGATATCATACATAAGGACATGTCTGTAACAACCATGACCCAGTGTGAATTCCTTGAAGACTTATATGGTTTTTCATGGGACCTTTTGGAAAAATCTGAAGTCATCTCATTAAAATGGCACACTAAGTTCGAAATCTCTATGATGCTTGGTTTCAGAAAGCAACAGTTAAGAAAACGTCAATTTTAAAAAAATGCAATATGGAGTCCAAAACATATGACATTCCAAAGACTTTTCACATGGGACTTGGATAATCTTTTATAGTTCTGCTGCTTTTTGTGAATTTGTCCAAGTCTTTGGATTTCAAAGGCTTTGAAAAAGTAAAAGAAAAATAAGATTGCTTGCAAAAAAATATGCAGAACATTGGTAAAAAGGGTTTACTTTTTATTTAAAAAAAGGTTTATTTTAAAATGGATGTTTTAAGAACTTGACTGGATTACATTTTTCATGATACATTCCTCTGTCATTTTACAGTCAGTTATAGCAGTTAGTTATCTTACTTGTACTTTTTGATGAATTTTCTTGTTGCACTTTTGTAAGTGCAAGAGATTGTAGTACTAGTGAAGATAAAACTAGGATTCCACAATGTAGTAGTGTGCTTAAAGTGTGCCATCAATGATTTTCCTTGGCATTGCTGTATACTTTTAACAGGCACAGCAAAAATGAAAAACTAATGACGCAGCATATATTGATGGAAAAATACTGTGCTGATAATAGTCGGGACTTTATTTGGAGCATGGTGGATATCTCTGAAACAGTGGTTTTGATATAATAAAGAGAGAGTAGAATAAGATAGCTGTTACTGTTTGAAGTTGAAATGCTAAACATGTTTGAATTTCTAATGAAAAGGCCAAAGGGATGTGTTATGATCTCGTATGCATACTAAATTCAATTTTCAGTTCAAACTTCATCATATTCCCTAGAGGAAGGTCTTATTCCACCTTCCATCTCGGAGACAAGACCGAGAAGCTCTTTCTACAATCTGTACAAATACATGTATATGCCAGATGAATATCTCTTCTGGCCCTGAAAGGCTTCTTTCAAAACATACTTAAGTATAGCATCTGTTATCTTCATGCGTGTTAGAACAGGGGGTCTTGAGTTATCAGAGTACTATGTTTGTATTGTAAGAGTTTGCTTCAGATATCTTATTTTAAATTAAAACTGTTTTTTTTTATCTTGAAAAAGATGGCCCAGTTTAAATCTAAAACAAGTAATACCAAGATCAAAGGCCAGATGGCAGCAGAGGAATTAAAGCATTAGTATTATTAATGATAGCTTTTGAGGATGTCTGTGAAGTTTTTCTCAAACAAAAAATATAATTGCCCCTAATTAACAAAAAAGTTTTAATCCCAACAGTTTGGGTATTTCACTTTTTAGTGTTTCATATTCAACACTAAAAAAAAAACAATGATTATTTTTGTGTTTCTGCAGCACATACTATATGAAGTTTAGACAGAGGTTTTGTGTTAAGGGCAGATTTCATATTATTTTTTCGTTTGCTGTGTAGTTTGTTATTACATTTATTTGATGTATTCATTGTTATTTTGTTGGGATTATTAGTAAATGTCACAGCCACGGGATAGGCCAATATAAATCAAGATGATGTAAAACAGTCAATGCTTAATAGCTAATATTACCATCTTCCTACCATCTGTTTTACAAGAAATGGTATAGCATGTTAAAAAAAAATATTCTTCCTAGGTTGAAATGAGTTATGACCAAACAATTTTTTTTTACTAAAACAACCTTTGACTAGTCTAAATATAAGCATATGCATGCATACATTATTACATAGCTCAGGTAGGTAGCTGTGTCAGTATACGTAGTCTGCATAGGACCAAGTAATAGGTTTATTCCTTGCTGAAAAGAGGAGAGAGAAAACACAACGTTTCGGCCAAACATTGTGTTTTCTCTCTGCTCTTTTCAGCACGGAATAAACCTATTACTTGCTCCTTTGTATTATTACATTATGCCCTTCCATCCATTTTCTAACCACTTTTTCTAATGCAGGGTCACAGGGAGCCACAGTCTATTCAACCAAGCAACGGGCAGAAGCTGAGGTACACCCTGGATAGCACACCAGTCCATCACAGGGCAGACATACAGACACAAACAGGCTCACACCTAAGGGGCGGTTTTCCTGGAAGCCATTTAGTCTACCAGCATGTGTTTGGACTGTGGGAGGAAACTGATGTGAATAGGGGACAGCATACAAACTCCACACAGATGGCTCCCCAGATCTGGATTTGAGCCCAGGCCCCCCAGTGCTGCAAGGCAGCAGTGCTAACCACAGCACTACCATGCTGCCACATTAAAAAAAACAAATGCGTATTTTCTTGAATAGTGTTCAGATTATATTTAGAATAAAACTGCAAGCTGAATCACTTTACAAGAAATTCCTTGGCTGGGAATAGTTTTTATTGTAAATTTCCCTCAACATGATTATGAACCATAGGAACATCTCAGCTTCAGTTTGCCTTATACTTATACTATTCAATTTGCAATATACTTATACTTGTGTAGGAGTGGGATTTGTAATGCTTATGGGGTGTTTTAAAAGGGAGTTCTATAGATTTCAGAAATAAAAACAAGCATTGCCCTAGATCTCATGCAAATGACAGATGGAAAACGGAGAGACTGTGAAAGGACATCCATGCTACTAACTTATTTGTATATGGTTATTTTTAAATGGAATGTGTTATCCAATTGAGAGGAAATAAAACTGGTTACTCAAACCTAGTCTTGTAAGAACAATGGGCATTAAGATCTTGTTATATAGTTATATTAAATATATGACATTATTAATAACTTACTTTATTTGCATATTATTTTATTATTTTGAGTGATTTGCTGTTTCATTCTTTTACATTATCCTAAGAACATTAGAATTATTTGGAATAATAAATACCCCTAAAAATCACTAAAAAGACTTTACAGAATGGACTACTCTTTGGGTGTTCCACAACATGAAAGAAAATTACAAAAATGTTTTTATTATTGTTAAAAATCCCTGACAAGGAACATGTTTAAAATTACAGCTGAACATTAAAATCGGTATGGTAGTAGTTGCCAGAAATCACAATAGATTTCTTTCTGTGGGAAATGGAGGCCTTGAGTATCTAAAAACTTTGTGAAAAGGCATGATCTATTTAAATGTCTCTACAAAATCTAAATAGGAACAGTGTTATGGGGTGTGAAATGTAGCCTGCTGTAAAGATCCACTTTTCACAAGAATAAAATTATTAATGTTGAATGTGCTTTGCACACTTCAAGTCCATAATCAAACAGGGGACATTTAAAAGTACCCCTAAGAAAATACATAGAGAGTGAAGTAACAACTGGAATGTGCCTGCTCTTTATTGACGATAATGCAAAGCCGTTTGCTGACTTGCTAAAATGCTTTGACCTACAACAAAAACTGCCTAGTTGCAAAACAGTTGCCAAGTTCATTCAAACACAACATGTCAACAAAAAACAATACATTATTGCTATTTAAAATAACATGTTAAAATGACCATATGCATTGTTGTAGCTGCTGGAAATATAAATTTACAGCTCTCTTGCATCTGGGTCATGCTACACCAATGCAGCCCAGAAGGATGTTTTGTGTCCAGATCTCTCAGGAGAAGAATCTGTGGGGTGTTTTAGAGTTGTTTAGTTCCAAAACACAAATCATTGCTTTTCTAGAAGAAAAATCCTTTAAGCTTTAAATGTGAAGTGAGAAAGTGGCCTTTGCCAGGAAAATTACCCAGGACTCAATTTAAAGCTACTACGATAAAATAGCATCTTGAAGATGAAATGAATGGAGGTTTCAAGCAATAAAATATCATGAGTGTCAAACTCCTCTCTTCAATGCACGAAACGCAACAAAATCTGAAAAGGTTTGGGATTTGTAGACAAAAACTATTAATAGATAAACACCACATTGTGTGCTCTTTTTGTTATCAGCATATAAGTGTAAAAAAAGAACTTGCATTTTCTTTAGTTTTCTGTGGTGGCGAGGAGGGCCTGTGAGTGACTCAACCAGTACAGACTCTCTCTCACTTAAGTGCAGGCAGAGGTTTGTGATCCAGGCCTTGGGGAAATGTGGGACTTGAATCTCATCTGTTTTCTCCAGCGGCAGTTCTTGCTTGTTTTCCAGTCTTGTTGCACTGAGTCAACACCTGGGGGGTTTACCTGCCTTGTAATTTTCTGCCCAGTGATTTTTGGAAGCACATTGTTCTTTTCAATTTTTTAGCTCCAGCAGAAGCACTTGTGCCTTGTGCCTCCCTCATAGTTGCCTCAATGGGGTTGATTTTGTCAGGTTGAACTATAAGGAGATACAATCAATACTAAATAATGGCATGACCCCACATGTGCAGCAGCTGCAATTATGCGTTTTAAGTATGAGGTAAATGATGTCCCTTAGAAGGCAGACAACTTGATGTGAAACTTAATTACAGTTGGCGATACTAGTCATGACATACCATTAGTGACCAGGATTCCTCAAGTGCTGGTGCACAGTTTGACGAGGACTGGTGTGGTTGTTGGCCAGGGTTGTCCAGGTTCTTGGTGAGACAGTGTCCCTTATGAGGAACAAGTAATAGGTTTATTCCATGCTGAAAAAAAGAAGAAAGAGAACACAACGTTTCGGCCGTGGAGCCTTCTTCAGGTGTCTTGTAGACTTGTTTTAGACTTGTTTAGTTCAAAAACACAAATCACACCTGAAGAAGGCTTCACGGCCAAAACGTGTTCTCTTTCTTCTTTTTTTCAGCATGGAATAAACCTATTACTTGTTCCTTTGCAGCCTACGCATGCTGACGCAGCTGCCCACCTGAACCACTACAGTGTCCCTTATGACTTCCTGGCCACCTACAGACCTGAGAAGCCGTCATTGCGTGGAGCAGTCTACTTCATTTGGCGCTGAAATTCCATAATGTAACTGCTTAGCCTGTGTGTTGCAAAGAATGGTTTGAAGATGGATATGTCAATGGAGTTGGTCTCTCAGTGTAAATGGCTGAGATGTTCTATTGCACAGTTGGTGATTCTATTTATGTTATTAGTTTGATGCAGAAATATATATACCATTTACAATGTTTGGTCCTATGGCAAGACTGAAGTATTAAAGCTGTTGTACAGAAGACTTATGCCACATGGCTATCTGTACTGAAGCATTCATAAGGCGTAGAACTTTCTAAAGTGTTGAGGCTTTTGAATGAAATTAGACACGTCACGTGTGACTACTCCTTTTCCCACAAAAAAGGTGTATCATGGCAAATATCATCACTGAGTTTAAATATGTGGCCTATTTTGATACCTGATTGGTATCTTCTACTACACAGAATATAAGCAAAATCTGTTCAGTTCATAAGGATTTTACTGGATTTTGTTTGCATAGACTGATTTGTCTTGTCTGTGTTAGGTTTGACACAACATGATGTCGTATAAGAGGTTTGATCTCTGTTACAGCACACATTATTTTATTTGCATAGTTTATAAAGAGGAATTCAAGCTTTTTTCCCTGTGTTTGCATTCTAATCTTCTTTAATATTTTATTGTATTTTTGAACATTAGAAATGTAATTCCTTTTTTTAATATTTGTTTTTTCCCTTTTTTGTAGAATACATGTGCTGTAGTCAGGTGCTCTTGCTATAGAAGAATCTACAATGGAAAAATCATGGAGGTTATGGACCATTGCTGAAAAGTGGTTGGTAAATCTTGCATCATGGTCTTGGGGTTTATGTCGCATCTCTCTCCTAGCTTTGATCTTAACGTTTCACTTGTACGGAGGCTTCATGCTCCTTGCTCTGATATTTGCTTCAGTGGCGGGTATACTGTACAAGTTCCAAGATGTGTTGCTCTATTTCCCAGACCAGCCCTCTTCCTCCCGCTTGTATGTTCCTGTGCCAACTGGGATCCCACATGAGAACATCTTCATCAAAACCAAAGACGGCATGTGTCTCAATCTTATATTCCTTAGATACACTGGGGATAATCCGGCGTTTGTGCCCACCATAATATACTTCCATGGAAATGCTGGCAATATTGGTCATCGAATACCCAACGCACTGTTAATGCTGGTCAATTTGAAAGTAAATGTGGTGCTGGTCGATTACAGGGGTTATGGCAAAAGCGATGGAGAACCAAGTGAAGATGGTCTTTATTTAGATTCAGAAGCAGTGCTCGACTACGTCATGAGCAGACCTGATATAGATAAAACAAAAATCATTCTTTTTGGTCGCTCTCTTGGCGGTGCAGTAGCCATCCACCTAGCATCTGGAAATCCCCATCGAATCTCAGCCATAATGGTGGAGAACACTTTCCTCAGTATCCCTCACATGGCCAGTACTTTATTTTCTTTCTTCCCCATGAGGTACCTTCCACTCTGGTGCTACAAAAATAAATTCCTGTCATACAGGAAAATTGCACAATGCAGAATGCCTTCGCTTTTCATCTCCGGGCTGTCTGACCAGTTGATCCCTCCAGTCATGATGAAACAGCTGTATGAACTGTCTCCATCCCGGACTAAACGGTTAGCCATATTTCCAGAAGGCACACACAATGACACGTGGCAGTGCCAAGGCTACTTCACTGCACTTGAACAGTTCATCAAAGACCTTCTAAAAAACCACACCCAAGAGGAAACCGTGAAATCGGCATCCAGTGTGACAATTATATGAAATGGTACATTTTAAATGAACTGGTTCGTTGTTAGTGAAAAGCTGTAACAGAATGTACATTTTTTAACATGTATTTTTTGTGTGCACTTACATCAGTGGGATGAGCAGAGTTGGGGTTGGGGGTTGGGGAATATGGCAACTTCAATTCAAAAATGCCTTTATGTATCACTTTTTTGACAATGAGTGCATGGTAAACTCTTCTTCTCCTTTGTTTTTTACTAAGCTTCCCCGACCTGCAGTTTTCATCGGTAGTTTTTTGGCAAATTAAACATTTTGCTTTAAATGATGTAATTTCACCTCATGTGCTAACTTTTCTGGAAAGAGCTTGATCTTGCTGAAATTGAATCCGGTATTAATTTCAGTAAACAATAAATTCTCTGCATGTCTTCCAGGGAATAAAACCATACAAGAAGAAAAAATGCATTAATTGCTGTACTTTATAAACAAATAATGTTGTACGGTGATATGCTAAGCCATTTACAAACAAATTTGCCTGTATCTTAAATGTGTATAGAATTTTGATTTCAGTTGTAACATTTTTTTGTGCTTTAAAAAAATATTAATACTTTAGTTATTATAATTACTTGCTTCTTAAATGGCCACATTTTCTAAATATGTTCCTGAAAAAAATGATAAGCTGTTAATATATTTTGCAGAGGAATGTTACTTTCAAGATAGTTGATGCTGGCAGGTTCGGTATGATATGCAAGTACAGTTAATGAGCAAGTGTTAAATACTATTTGCGGTTCTACATATTCAACTGTAATCTTACAGGAATCTTGCACGTAACTGTATATAGCCATGTGTGCTGCACTCTGTGTTTGGGCATTATCTGTAAGAATACAGTATACTCTCTTTAACACTTAGGCTCAAATTTAGGCAAAGTCCATCCCATTCTAAATTAAGGTAATAAACATAAATGTTTATCCTTTTTTTTTCTCATAAGCAATGCTTGAAAAAACAATGAGCTACATGATACTGATATTTTGTAAATGGCTAAATTGACTGGAGTGGTATACACTATTTCACATTTCTAAATGACAAATTACAGTTCACAGTCTTTGATGAACAGGAAAAATTGGAACAGACAGAAACAAGTAAAAATTCAACTTGGCAGAAAAGAGGAATTTACTGAATATGTCTGTCTGGAGCCATGCTGTCCAATAGTTTCACTACTTTGGATCCTTTAGCATGAGTTCTGTGCCTGTGGAATATCTAGAGCAGGGATCTCCAGGCATGGTCCTGGAGAGACCTAATCCAGTTAGTCTCATAGATCACCTGCTTTTTATCAGCACCTGCAAGCTCTTGACGAATCACACAACAGATTTATTTAATTATGAAAACTCTGATCCTTGAGGGCTTGAGTCTAAACTTCTTCATTTAACAATTGACCAGTTTGATTAATCACATTGAAGTTGTTCCCTGTATTTATGAAGCAGTGATTTAGAGATGACCTATAAAACCTGCTGGTTTGGGACACTTCAGGACCAGGGCTGCAGACCCAGAACCTAGAGACTATGATGTTTGTTTTCCCTGGTTAGTGGCCCTATACTGGTTCAGAATTATTCAGAAGTAGTTCAGGTAGGTAGCTGCATCAGCATGCATGGTCTGCAAAGGAACAAGTAATAGGTTTATTCCATGCTGAAAAGAGAAGAGAGGAAACGCAACGTTTTGGCTGAAGAAGGCTTCACAGCCGAAACATTGTGTTTTCTCTCTTCTCTTTTCAGCACGGATTAACCTATTACTTGTTCCATTATTCACCAAATGTGTTGTTGAAATGGGGGAAAAATATGATAAAATAATATTTTACAACAGCTGGTGTGGAGATCACTCCTTTCCTTATCTTTTGTGGTTTTGTGTTTTGATCTGAAATGTAAGAATTAATCTCTCAAAATTTCTGAGCCTGAAACAAGATAGTAGCAGGGGAATTGGAATTGATTAATCAACATGCTTAAAGTATGTAAAGTACCTTGTATCTATGAATGTGTGTACAGTTGTTATTTGCTTATCAAATTCAATTTGTTGACAGTGATGAAAATTAATCACCTTTTTCGAACTGGGCTCTTTGTTTCTGTGTTTATTATGGATAGCGGCCAAGAATTGTATACAGTCTGTGTGTAAGCTAACCATGATAGCTGTTTTACCACACTAATGTCTGGATGTGTGATTTTTCTATAAAATCCTTTTTTTTAATACACAATCACACTTTCTATTTTCTGTACTGGTACATGCAATAAATTATTAAAATACGATTGTACATGTTGAAGTTTGTCTGACTTGCAGTAATAACTTCTAATTCAAGCTGTGAGGTACTACAGGTTTCGGTTTTCACCCATTGTCCTTCCTGATCTATATGTTTGATTTCGATTCTGGTATAGTTGGAAAACAGGGTGGGTGGTTAACGCAGAAGTGGCAGAATTAGGAATATGCACCACACCTGTCAGAGTGGTGATTGAGTTTTAGGAAGTTCAAGCTTTACCATCTAAGCCCTTGTTTAGGATATTGTGATCAGTTTCAGTCACCATGCCAAAGAAATGATATTAAGTCTCAGAAAGAGTTCAAAGAAAACAGTTCCTCTTGGCTACACAGACAAGTTAAAAAAATATTTTCAGTCTAGAGCAGGGGTTCCCCACTTTTTTTGTCAGCCGAACCCCTTCAACCCTTCAATATTATTTGCCCCAAGTACCCCTTTTCAGATTTTAACTAAATCAAACTCTCTTAACATGCTTCTTTTCACTTTTTAAAATCTTAATATTGCTACTGTTGTTTTTCTTATTCTTATTATTACATTGTTATTTATTAATTTGACATTGACATTTCCATCAGAATCTCATGAACCCCTAAGGGTTCTTGAACCCCCCATTTGGGAACCCCTGGTCTAGAGCAAAGATAAGATTTTATTAATGTACATAAAATGAAAAGAGTATGGAATGCTGAGGGGTATATATAGGGTCAAGCCATGGGACTGTTCACAGTACTGAAACAAGGACACAGCATTGTAATTGGAAGCTAAAAGGAAATTCAGTTAGTCCTGGAAGTAGTAATGGGTCTGTATGCAGAAAGGTGCACTCTCTGTAACTAGCTTCTCAGCCAGGGGTTGAAGACCCAAGCTCTTTATCATTCTTAAAATATGTCTAACTCAATGTAAGTTTCCCAGATATTTGAAAATTGCTGAGAAAAAATAAGAAAGATGACTACCAGAAAAATAATTTGCTTAGCTTTTTTTTTTCCCAGGGAGATTTCTCATGTTACACAACAGGAAAAGGTGAAATTCTTCAAATACACAATTAGGACTGCTTTTCTAAAGATCATAAATCTGGAGAAAAAAGTGGGTATAAAGTAAGTATAAAAAGGTGCACTTAGGATACTGCCTGGGGAATGCCAGTCAAATTTGTCTAGTGACCCAGGCTCAAACAGGTAATGTCTGGATCTTAGAACCTCAACCTGCACACTGCTTAGCATCCTTTTTGTTGAACTATTCAGATGGTGTCCAAAAGCAATATTGAGTTAACTAAAAACATAATGGCTGTACTTGGAGCTGTAGAGTTGTCTTAAAATATGCTTCTGCCTCTTTATTGGTTTGTGTTGGTTCTGTTGTACAGGTGTAAAGAGACCTGTAAAAAATCAACATTACTGTCAAAGTTACTGTCCATCTTATCCAATACTGTAGGTCTGGCTGTCATAGTTTAGGGTGGAATTTGAGATTGTGAATGTTACTAGCTGCTATGTTTGTAGCCATACAGGAGCCATTCAATGAGCTACACCACAGCTAAGAGAATGTGAGATATAGGAAGGGGGAAAAGAGGTTTGGTTGTTCTTGAAGAAATTATTCGAAATACATCAGAATCCCCTTTATGTTTTTGTAATAAATAGGAAGCCCTGGCTGTATCCCTAAATGCCCATCTACTTTAATGTTCATCCATCTAAAAGGAGTAATACTTGATAAAATGCTTTGCCCCAAATCACATTGAACACATGAGATTAATAAATTATGATTTAACATGTTACAATGGTGCTAAATAACACAAGCTAAAATACAGTACTACAACTTAATTTGACTCAGATTCTGCAATTGAGTTTTGTTCTGTGTAGTTATAGAATAAACAGATATTGATTTAAACATATGTGTATACTAATGAAATTTTCTGTGTCCAGTCTTTTCCCAGAATTCTAAACTATTCATGTTCTCCACAAGAAAAACCCCAAACAACTGAGAATATAACTTCCCATTTCAATTAACCTTACAGCAAATGTCACACTTAAAATTCCAGGAGTTCTTAGAACTATGAGAAACTAAAAAGTACTGAGTTTCGTTATGAATGTATTCAAAATTACCATGGCCCAAATGTATTTTCATATTCCATCACTGCTATTTCCAGAAAACATATTTTGCAACAATAAAAATAGTTACTTTTTAATATTTCAATAGAGTCACTGTATGCCCAAAGGCATTTTATCTTTGAATTCTGAAAAAGAAGTATTTCGATTTCGAATTAAAAAAAATCAAACATTTTTAGTTTATATGTTTGTGTTGAAACATTTAAACATAATTCTGTAAATGTTCTTCTCAAGCGATGTGGTTTGTGGTGAAAAGGCTTTTTATACAAGCGCTTGGTTATCTGCTCATTGCAGTTTACTTCTCCTTTAACGGAAAAAAAATGCATACTGTTCAACATCTTTTAGTTGTTAGTTTTAGGTCATCCTTTTGTTAGGTGTTTAGTTAGACAAAAATGTACAGAGAAATTGGAAGTCACCACTGTATTTGTGTTTTCAAATTGCAGTGTTCCTTGTTAATACCTTTCATGAAGTGGTTTATACAGTATATCATACATATTCTCCTGCATGTATCCTCTTAAGTGTGGCACCTCCTTTTTCCTTTTGTAAGGTTTTCAAAATGAGATTCCCAGACATTCAGACTTGTGACTTTAATCGAAGCAATGCAGCTGTTCTGCAGTTTTGAAGTGGTTTTACTCAGTAATGTTTTGTTGACTCATAGTTAAAGTTAAGATACTACAAAGTTTTTAGTTTTAGAAATTATGCTACCCTGATATATTTTTAAGTATATATTTTCAATACTGTAATTTTACTTTTTACTTTTTACTTTTAAGGTTAATAGCAAATGTCCTGGATTGTTTTCGGTTTGTTTTTCAGTTCTATTTTTAAGCCAAGTTGCAGACTATACTTGTTACATATTTCCTCTATAACAAAATCTTAATTCTGAATTAAAGTTTTTCATAAAGAACAATTTAAGCTACTTCTCTTGCAAAAAAAAATAGGAACAGTTACACGTTCAAGAACAGAATTTGCCTTTGTAGCCCCATCTGACAGGAAATGATTTGCAAAGTTAACCAACCGAAATCAAGTGAATGTGTCTTTTACAGTAAGCAGGGAAAATAAAGGCAACATTAAAGATCTGCAGGATTTTGTCATGTTTCTGATAAAACAGCTGAAACCCGCAATGAATCCTGTTGTCCGAACACTTCGGAATGACTCTGATATTCAACAGAAATGCCTGATGTCAACAATTCTGGTGCTTATCCTTGCTGCGATAATGTCTTCATCTATGTCAGCTGTCTCTCTGTACCACATCATGACTTTAAAAGCAGAAGTTGCTAGTTTAAAGACAGAGGTTTTCAAAAAGCGAGAAGAGCAAATATGTTCACTATCCTGCCATGACACAGAAACAACCCAGCTGCCCAGCAACAACCAGCAGGTGAGTTTGGATCTTTGTTTCTGGAAAGTTTTACTGTTTTGGTAGTATGCAAATGTTTGGTAGGCAATTGTATGCTTATACGCATGATTTATAAGCTATTTGAAGTAGAGAAGACTTTCTGGAATTCAAATAATTGCAAATATGATTGACAGAAATGCATTTATAGGTAATGTAACTGTTTCGCTTTCTTTACAGAAACTGAATTATTTAAATGATGAAGCAGTACCCCAGCCTAGTATGGATAAGTCTAAGACTCAACAACGTCGACACAGACTAAGGCGACATAGTGTTGATAATGTGATCAGTAAAACAGGCAAGTCATTATTGCTATTATTATTACCGGGAGTATATTACTGTTACTAGCATTGGGGTATACACGATGTGTATTTTACATGTACAGATTTACAGTATTATACACATCCAATAATACGCTATAAAATATATATTTTTTATATTGGGTGAAATGTTTATTCAAAACAAGACATGATATATCATATCGTCTTTGCTCCTTTAGCTGCCAACAGTGGATTAATCCCAAAATATTATCCACTTTTCGAGTTAACATTAAGATCCATTATGTTTTTGAAGTCTTTTGTTTTCTGTCCTGAATTTCCCTTCTCCTGCTGTTAGCCTTCACCTGTGATTTGGGTGTATTAAATAATCCGTTAGGCTGTGTGTGTCAATAGCATTTACTGTTCTGAATCCTTTAATCCCCTCTTAATCTCTTGCCCTGGAATTTGTCTGTGGCATACTTTAGTGAACAGCAAATATCTTGGCTGCCGATTGTGAACTCTTCTTTAGTCAATATGTGTTTTCTAGTGCCGAGGAACATTCAGTACAATATTTTACTTTTTAATAACTCTTAATAATAATAACCCTTGTGTTAGGCTATGAAAGTCTGATATTTTACTCCTTAAATTGCATTCTCTTTTTAATTTTATCTGCATATTCTGTTGTTCTTTTTATTAAGTAATCCTTATTATCTAGAGAAACACGTCAAATCAATATTAGATCCTAAACATTTCCCATGTAGCTTTGTCTAGTTTGATAAAACTCCTGATATTATGATTGGCACTTCATATTATCTCTGTGTGGTATTTTGTACATGTGAATTTGTAAAGAGAAAACATGGAAGAAGACATTACATCCTTCAGGAAACGTCTGACTTCTGGCCTCTTGCCTGTTTGTGCATCTTATCAGATGTACAGGTGTTTACTGTGTTCTAAGCAGTATCTTAAGTTCATTTTTTTTCTGATGGTACCTCTTTTGATTCTCCTCTTTTATTCATCATTTGGAATTGTCAAAAATGGGCTTGCTCTAAAAGAGTCTAGATTAGTAGTACAAGAAAAGAAGCAAGCTTAACAGATCCCAGATGCTAAATTGTATTTTCTCACTTCTCATTTGTATTGCCATAAAATGGATGCCTGTTGGCTTTCATTAATGTATTACTTATAATTATCTGTGTGCAATACTGTGATGCCTAGGGGGAGGGTAGTTTTCACAAGTATTTTTTTTCTCGTGTACAGCCATACTATACATGAACAGGCATGACAGCCATGCAACCATATGTCACTTAATATGGGTTAAATCTATAAAGTTTGTTTGTGGTTTAATGGCAAACATTGGGGAATCTAAATATGCTGAGTTTAGCAATGCAGTTCCTACAATTTCTGTTTGTCATGGGTGGTTTCCAATTACAAGAAAGTGAAGTAACGTATTCCATTGGAGGAAACAAAATTGGAGGAAACAACTTTAATCCTCTCCACAGTTGACTAAAAGAAAGAGAATTATGAAGTTATACAAATAATTTTGACGTATGGACTTCCATTGTCACTGGGGAAAGTATTAAGTTTTTTGTAATAAACTGATAAGTGTATTATTAATAACCTAATAAACTAAATATTAATTAATAAAACAGATAAATGATTGTCTTTGAAATAAACATCAAAGATGATGTTTATTGGTTCATTCATGTTCACTTCCAGCATAAGAAGAAGCGTAGTTGAGTTATGTATCTGTGATACACTAAGTTTCTTGAGATTTGAAAAAGTGCATTATAGTGGGAGTTCTTCTGAAAATGTTTGAGGTTACCTAATTCTGTCAGAAACTAAAAAGTTAAAGCAAAAATGTAATTGAGTCCTACAAATTAACTTCTTTTTCTAATAAAATGAAAATCGTTATTATTTGATTTTTAATTTTTTTATTTTATTATTATTTAACATATGGATGTGAAAACCCTTTCCTGTTCATTCGAATATCTACAACAGAGCAAATTAATTAAAAAGTTATTTAAAAGTTATTTAATATAAAATGGATGTTTCAGAGCCCAGCCAGTGGAAATAGTAAATGTGTACATTTTAATATCTATACGAAATTGTGGTTATTTAAACAAGGACTTTGAATTGAAGCCCTAAAACAGTCAAATTGAAATCCTAACTGGATGATCTGAAAATATTGTCCTGAAACATATAAAATTTGGATAATGTTTAAATTATTTGGTACTCATTTTTTTTTATTTGAGCATGCATAATTGACTGTATATATTCAAGTGACTTTGCTGCATAAACACTAAATCATTTTGTAACAGACTTGACTGCCAGGTTAAAATCAAGAACAAAACAGTAAAGAATATGTCACACTTATGAACAGAACCCTTTCTCTTTCTGCTTTTGGTTTTTTGGAAGCTGGGCTAAGTCATCTCAGATGGAATCGTCAATTATTGATTCAGCATTTCGCGTAGACCTAAACTTATTTCTAATGTGTGTCAGTGATTGTCGCAAACACGCAGAATATCAAACTTGTTTTACAATAGACTTGATGGTAGGGTCCAAAAAATTGTTGAGCTGAGCAGGTGTGTTTGGGTGTTCCAGAATACCGTTTATAATGAATAAGCACTGGGACCTTTCCTACTGCCTTTCCTGTGTGCTTCATCAGACATGACACCATTCCAGAGGGACTGTATGTGTCCTCATGTTGCTCATATAACAGTGGCTTTCACGTGAGATGGGAAAGGGACAGTTACGCAGTTGATGCCCTACAGACCAGACTGGAGCCCTTTGAACATTTGTGGGTTTTGAAGAAGTACATGCTTCTCCAGGCTCTTCAGGAGGAATGACACAGAATCACACATGACAACATGAAATGCAACCTGATACAAAGCATACAGTGCTTTGCAAATGTGCAGCTTACATTTCTTCCAGCATCGGTCACACAAGCTATTAACCTGTGCCTCTCCCAGTACACCCCCTGTAGATCAACTATGTTGATGACAAATTTTAATAAGCAGAATTCATTAACCTACAGTATGTCATGTCAGTGAAGCTGCCACAGGAAATAATTATAATTTTTCCTGATAATTTTGTAATTATTTTAAATCTTTTTTTACAGTTATGAGTAATATATTTATTTTCATGGACTGTGTATAATGCAGTTAAATATGAGTAATCTTGACTTTCCAAAAAGTGTGCATGTTATTCAAAATAACGAACTAAACTCAGGCAATGTTTGTTGTAATACTGCTGGATGTTGATTTGTGCTACAGATTTCTTACAAGGTTTTTAAGTCCTAATTAAAATTGTTGCATTTTTTTTCCAGTGTTTCAGCCCTGTTTACAAATGATTGCTGATGATAAAAGAAGCACCTTCCAAAAAGGTATCCATTGATTTATGTTCATTGTCTGTGGCATAATTAAAAACATAGTCGCATTAATGGCTTTAATTTATGGTGTAATTGTCATTATCACTGGTGTGCTGCATTACATTTTCCAACAGCACTATGGAAAGGAGTGTAATAATCTAATAGAGATGTTCATTACTTTTAAAATGTACAATTTTACTGTCTCTAAAATGTATGAAAACCGATACATAATGAATGACAAATTGCTATGCACAGCAACACCACCAGTTAAAATAGTATCAGCTGTGGTCTAGAATGGCATAGCCAGCCTTGGCAATTTGAGCCATTCAATAAGTTTTGAATTTATTCTTGTTCACTTGATTAACATATGTGCTGCAGATCACTTCATTTAGACTAAGATAGAGCAAAGACCTGCAATGGCATGGAATCCAGGTGGCAAAGCTCACCTGCTCTAGAACAACCGAGAACAACCGTATGCAGCCAGATAGATACAGAACCTGTATTTCTTGTTAATATTATTGTAACAGTTTTGCAACTCATGTTTTTACAAGTTTCAGCTTCCTCTTATGATCCTTCATGTTGTAAGTCAAAAGTGAAGAATTTTTTAATGGAATAAAATACAGACATTTCTCAGAAACAATCTGTGCTTTTATCTTTCGCTTTGAAATTTTATTGAAATAAAACTGCTTAAATAGCATAGAATTGGCCTCTTTTAAGATTAAAAATTGGCATAAAATATAAAGAAGAAAGAGGAACTGTTAGGTCCTTGCCTTTTAATTTGAATATAGGCTTTATCTGACATCCTCCTTTTATATCTACTACATTTTTATGTCTGAGGATGTTTGGATTTTCTCTAAATGTATTTCTTGCACAATAAGGCAGGGATACTTTTTCACAGTTCCTCATTCATGTGATAATTTATTTTAAACCCACACCATGATAGGGCTTAAGATCAGGCACCTGGTTTGGCCTCTCAAAGCTTGTAGTTAAAGAAGTACCTTTAAAAAGTTAAAACTGAAATACCCCACCATGATATCACAGATGCATTGCCTGTGGTAACCTTTTTCCACTATTATGCTTTCATTATGGCATCTACAGTAAAACAAAACCTGCACAACAGCTTTCCCAAATTGCTTGTTATGACTGTTCAGACCTGGTCTGCTTTGACCCTATCATGAAAAAAAATGACCATTAATTTTGTCAGTACAAGACTTCAGTCCACAATGTTAATCCTGATTTTTTTTGTGAATCGTTTGAATAAAAAAACATGTCTTGGTTTGTATATTCTCAGAATGCCAGTCATTAAATGTGAAGTTATTATTTCAGATCAATATACAGCTATCCCTTGGCTCCCGGGCCTCAAAAGGGGAACAGCTCTGGAAGAAAAAAACAACACGATAAATGTCAAAGAAGCAGGATACTTTTTTGTCTACAGTCAGGTGAGAGTTTCATAAAACATTGCATGCAGAATACATAACCCTGATTTACAGTTTTCCCAGTAAAGCCACAACAGCCTGCAACCACATTTAGATAAGTTCCTCATCATTGTCTATAATATGCAAAATGATAAAGTCATTGTCTCAAGTTTACAAAGATAGAAATAAATTAATGGATTACAGTGAAGAAAAATTAATGTCATAGTTCTTTCACCCTGTTTCTTTCTGCTTGTCTTTTCCTCGTCTGTGCGAATAGCTGAATGGCACTGCATATATACAGTACTGTAAATTAGATACTGTCTTTTTTACTAATGATAAAGTGAATAATAACTGTTGGGATATGTGATAAAGGAACAAGAGACAGAACAAGCACAAGTAATTACACAAAAACCAAAATGTTTTTTTTCAGGTTTACTATAAGGACAAAATCTTTGCCATGGGACATATAATTATCAGGAAAAAAGAACATATTGTTGGGGATGAACTCCAAAATGTGACTTTATTCCGGTGCATCCAAAATATGGACCCTATTTATCCATTCAATACTTGTTATACTGCGGGTATGTATAATTTAAGGGGTTTTCATTTTGACTGACATATCTGGTTAAATAAAGGATTTAAATAAAATAAGTTCTAAGATACCTTTGTGTAGTAGCGTTAGAATATGTAATAGTTCCAGTATTGGTATGAGTACTTCAAATAATTAGGTAGGCAATTAACTAAGATCTAGTGTGTAAAATCCATTCAAAAGTTTTACTGTATCATCAAGGAATTATGACACATCCAACCTAAAATTTGTTTTGAGAAAATTCATTATTGATGTAAGTCTTAAATAATTAAGTAAATACTGAGAATTTTTCATCTTTTTCCAGGGATTGTGAAACTGGAAGAAGGTGATAGCATTGAGCTCCTCATACCCCGACGTACAGCAAATGTCTCCCTGGATGGAGATTCCACATTCTTTGGTGCAATCAAACTTGTGTGAGGTACGCTTGCATGGTTCGAAAGCTGTTGCTTCCATTTTTGAAAATACCTTTGAGGAGATATTTGCAGTTCTGGTTTTGGAGATGTATTTTGGGGAGGTTGTGTCAGCTCAGCTTGTTGTTAAACCAACGGGAAACAAAGTGAATGCTTTAACACTTCTGCCGTGTGATATACAGTATCACAAGAAAACTTAAAAAAAAGAAACTGGGATAGTGCCACCAACTTTGCAAAGATTAAAAAGGATGTTCTTCTCTACAAAGCCCAAAAATTGTGTTTTGTTAAGTAGGGCAGAATCTATCTAAAAGAAAAATGAGTGTCCAAATGTAAAAATAATGCTGACTACAGAATATTTGTATAATACACATGCTGTACAAATTTGTAAAACATAGCTTTACATGGATGCCATAAATACAACAGGGACTGTGTTTTAAATAACAATAATATGGGAATCTTTTAAACAACTGAGTGAGTTCATGTGATACCTAGGGAATAAGTATTTTTAAATATCTTATATTTATAACTGATATTAGGTCAGTTTTACTGTATTTGTTAGTGTAAATACATATTTCCCTAGAAACAGTATGAAAATTGTGATTTTGTTTATCAATGAGTCCTCAACCACAATATAAATGTCGTAAGGAATGTAGGAAAATATTGTTTTAGATTTAACATATGATCTATCTTAAATGATTTAACTCCTTCCCCTCTTTTTTATCACAAATGCTGTTTCTTTAGTTACTGCATCTGTCCCGTTACTGTCAGGCAATTCCACATTAAACACCTCAAACCAAGTGCATCTTAGGACAGGCAGTGGGAAAGATGTTGCCTAGTCTAACCCCATTTCAGTCTCTCGAAGTACTTAACAAGGCAGGTTTCATGAACTGCCTAACTGACATGAATGAGGCTGAGCTTAACCATCTGTTTTATTTAAAAAAAACTCCTCAGGATGTGACTTTGTGGCTTTTTACATTGTTTCACTTTCTCTGAGTGGTCTTTTGTTACTTAGGAAAATAGAAACTAAGTCAGTAAAGGCCTCTTTCTTGGAATTTAGTACTTATTTTTTTATGTTGTTGCCAAGTGAAATAAATTCTGCCTGAAGACCAATGTGCTGTTGACTTTCATGTGCAGCCTGCATCTTACAGCAGTTATTTCCCTCGATTTTAAAAGTGATATACAGTATCTTCCTAATAAAGCACCAAACAGGTATTTGTTCATTATATTATGTTATGTGAGATTCCATAAAAGCACGTGAATAGCATTCCATTATGGTAAATATTTAATCAATTGTTGTTGTAAGGACCTAGGTAATTAAGCTTAAGTATTACATGCAGTTACATACATTTCCAGAAGATGGCTCCTATGGCCTAAAAATGCCCACACAGTATTTCAGTATATGATTTTGTGTAACCAATAAAACTAAGATGTACATCTTTTGATTGTTCTTTTTGATACATCAATATTAAATAAATCAGAGTTTTACTCAAATGTGTGTCTTGTGTTGTGTTGTTTAGTACTTTTTTAAAAGATTTGTTGCTTCATCTGACTCTTCAAAATGGCATGTTACAGTAAAGCTGTAGGTAGGCATTTTGTTTAGAATGATAAGGCTTAAACATTTTCATATGGGCAACTGAATGCAGTTTATTGATTACAGCACATAAATAATTATATCAAAAAGTGAAACATCCTGAACACTCATTGTCTGCACATTTTATATGGCAATATATATGTTGGGTGTGAAATATTGATAGCATTATTGTTACTGTATGTTTTCAGTTCTTCAAAGTCAAGATTGTCTAAAAACTGAAAAACAAATTGTTTTAAAAATAAAATGCTATTTTTAAAACTATAGAATGCATTTGGCTGTATTACTTTTCAAAATACAGCCATATAACATATGACATTCCATTTCTTCTCCAAAGTACAAATAGTTTATTTTCTACACAGAAATTTCAGATCTTTGTAATTAAATATGATTTAGAAAAAGCAAAAGGGTCTCTCCTGAATCACACAACAGCTGCTATTGACAGCAGTAAGATAGACTCCCAGCAGAGATGTGGTGTGTTGGCTTGGCATACAAAAATGAGTTAAAAAGGCAGTTAAAATATACTGTATAATTAACTCACATTCATTTCACTTTTGAAGGAAAGATAATGCTCACTATCTGCTAGCTTTATGAAGCCACAGTTTTCTAGAACTTTTAAAGGAGGTAAATAGTTTTAAAAAAAAGCTACAGTACTTATCTCAGGATGTTTGATCATGGGTTTATTTTACAGGGAGGGTAGGCATACAGTAAGTAAAAGAAAATTGAGAGCAGTCTACTGTAATCTTGTGTTCTACAGATGCTAAAAATCACTTTCATTCTTTATCAAGAGACGCAGTTTACTGTCATGACAGGATATTTCAGTGGTTAGGAATTATTCAAAATAATAGTCAAGTCCCAGATGTACACACACATACTGTACGTACCTTCAACACAAAAAATGATACAAAGCCTATGTTGTATTAATCATAAAGAAAATGCATCTTGCCCAGGCAGCTCAAACTGTGGCTCCACTTATATTAGTCTGAGCTGAAATTCTCACGATCCCAGTCTTTCATTAAATCATGGGTATCAAAAATATTTTACAGGCTTTTATTTCATCAGCAATATCTTACCCTTTCTAAATCCAACACATCTAAGCAGACCAACATTCACATTGGTGACCACACCTTAGGTTGCAAAAGGCTGAGTTCTGTGTTCTATGTGAAGGTGATTTGCTAATAAATTCATAATTCAGTTAAATTTGGGACTAGCAGTGCAGGCAAAAATTATTATGAAATCTGAATATTTCCATGTATTAGCCGAAATATTGTGTGGGCCAAAAAACACATTTTACATAAGACTTGAGCTTCAATTTTTGGGGGTTAGGTTAAGTAAACAGAAACATTGGAGTGAGACTCTGTTACAATCTTAAGTGAAGGAGAATTTGAATCCAGTGTTATTACTGTGCTAGTGAGTTGCTTTTGCTATGTTGTTTTTCCAAAGTAGTCATATTTTCCTACCTTGGGCACTGCCTCTCTTTCCAATCATAGGAGCCCATAAAAATTGGCTTGTGGAGTGTAGGTTAGATGCATGTTTTTAAAACAGAAAACTACAGTTAACACATGATAGCATCTCCCATATCAGTCATGATTATATACAGTATGTATTAAAAAAAGTGTAGGCATTCCAGTCTGATATGTTATCAAAAGATCAGATTTGACTTCCCTGATTGATTTACTAATCATATTTGTGCTCAACATGCTGTGAATAGAAATATTTTTTCATTTGGAATTTCTACCATTCTGTATAACTAAGAAGAGGTTTCTGATTGTTTGTAGTATGATACAGTATTTTCATGCCGTTTTAGTTAAGCACCGCATACACTTGGAGTCCCCTCCAGGGGGTGGGTCACGTGCTTTCTATTCTGCTTTACTCTACAGAGAGCAGGATGAGCTCAAGTGAGATGAGCTCCTGTGCCTCTGCTAAGTTTACTATACAGTGTACATTTGACAAGGTAGCAAAAGTTCACATGACATCAGTAAAGTAATTGCAGCATGCATACAGCATCAAATTTTAAAAAGTATCTTGAACTAAAGTTACACTATAATACCCTACTATAACACTACTATACCATAGTACAAAAAAGAACATTACTCCAGAAATAGAAATACACAGTATGAAAATAGGGATAGTGGTAATTGCTTGTAGAAAGTTTAGTATCAAAGCCAAGTCCTCCCTAAGCTCCAGGGAAGAACACTGCCAAGGTGTTTGAGGATTTAGCTAACTACTGTAAAAGATGACATTATGCAAAAGTGACAAAAGCTTAGCAAGCTGACATTACTGTTTTACTGTTGAGGTGTCTGCTGCCACTAAGTGGCCATATTTATTAAAATCATTTTTTTTAGTTTACTGGAAATGAACAATGCTTGGCATTTATAATGAACAGAACATTCACAATTGATCCTGGTGTTATTTTTATTATATTATATAATATTACAAACTGAAACATACTTATATTGATCCAAATAAATCATTTAATTTAATAAACAATTGTACCAGATAAATGTCTTTAGGTTACACACATCAATGTGACATGTTGTGATTTAAAATACAGTATGTAATCAACATCTGTCTATATTTGTTGGTTAGTAAATCTGAATTGTGTTTTCTGGAATATTTTACTACCACTTAAACTTTTTTTTTGTACACAGGTCATGAATAACTGAATATCTCATGCGCAATCCATTCCTATATACAGTAGACCACATTACAATATTAGTTTAAATTCAAGCCACCCAACTTTTAAAAGGGCTTGGCAAATCTTAGTCATACTCCACTAGATTAAAAAGACTAAACTGCCAATGTCTGGATTTTTAACCTGCACTCTGAATGATTTGGTTTACTGGATAACCACTTGGGAGGCCTTGAATGAATACATTTTAAGCCGTGTAATTATCTGTGTGAACAAGCAAGAATGAAGTGGTGGTAAGTGTGTTAATGTGTGTGTCAAAACTGAAAAGAGCCCAGATGACTTGATTCACTAAAAATGATAGTGGAAGTTTGTCGGGTTAATGCACTTAATGCTTTTGTCCTTGTAAATATGTGTAAACAGGTGATCTTTTCTGGGCGTCTAGGTAAACTTACTCTAATTCTTCAATAATTTGAGATGCCCTTTCAGTCTTTACAATCCTTACAGAGTCTCTATAGAGCCTTTACATCTTATATCCAACCATTACTTTAGCCTGCATTTTAAAATGTACCTACATCACAGCAGTAAAGGAAAATGGGCCGAAAATAGCTGCCTTTAGGGAGTCTTCCAAAACACTCTTTGGATATTAAACTTTAATGGTTCCTTTAGAAAACATTTTACAAAGAAGAAATAGATTATCTAAGAATAAACGTCTAATATTAAATTAACTAATTCAACACTTTATTTTGAGTTTTTGTGACTAAAATATAATTCTACTACCATTTAGTATGAATTAAAAGGACCATACCTGTCAGCATACAGTAGCATAACAGTCAGTCAGTATATAAAATATGCTGGTTACTTAATTTTTCGTTAATTTAATTGGAATGCTTTGATCATCCATTTCAGGAAACAGAATTAACACCACTGTCCACACCATGCCTCAACAGTTCAGATCTTATGTGGGAATGTTTTGCTCCATGTACTTTGCTCCAGTAAATGCTGTATAAATAAGTACCCTCCAGTACTACCTGTCACTGTAAAAGAAAATTAGCTCTCAAAAAAAATAAAGTGAGAAAATGTTTCAATGTTTAAGTTTTAAAAGATCAATAAACTTAATCTAATTCACCAGTTGAATTTGCCTGGCCATATAGATTGTATTTAGTGTTAATACAAAAGTATACAGTTATAAAGTATAACTGAAGTTTTTCTTGGAAAAAAGGGTTCTCACTAAGATAACACATACTCTATTATATTCTCTTCTTGGGTCCTCTTGAAGCATTTCTTGGACTTTATTAGAAGTTATTGACACTTGTACTGTGAGATGTTTCCTCTGTTTTTGAATCTTCTGTTTTTTTAATAGATTCTACTTTGCATACATTTTGATTGGTGGGATTCCTGGATGTTGTTGCCTTCACATCCAGTCATCACATATTATTCGGCTACAGGTTAGATAATTGAGATGGTGTATCCTGCACTTTCTTTCTCTTTAAAAAATCTGTTTACCAGACTGTTTGCTTTGGATTAATGTCAAGTGGAAAGGAGGTGTCATTGAGTGTATTGTAGTCATCAGGAGTCAGTTCAGACACTGTCTTGGTAAGGTTCAGGATTTACATTTCAAGTCTCAGAGCTCAACAGTGAGAATAAAGTGTTGTTAAACACTTGTGCATGTGTGCCTCAGTAATTGATGACATGCCTTGTTCAGGTATTGTTATACTGTTCTCTGAAACATGAAAAGATGTTTTAGACATTACAAATTATTTCACGGTTCCTTGGTTGATAATTCAGATTAATGATTGACTGCTAGATCAATTAAGGTGTCTAGCAATATTTCACTTTCTCTTGTACTTGAAATTTTGAGGAACATCATACAGTATCATCATATCATATACGACAGTGTTTCTGCCACTATTGTATATTTTCTCCTAACTGTACATTTACAACTTGATTTTTGACTTGTTAGTTTGCAGATGCATAACATGCATTACCAAGTTCAAAGCTCATTATCACATAAACGGAGTTCAAGGAAAACCAGGCTTTACAATGCAACAGACAGAAACAGACATTTTTCTTTGTTCAATTAAGATTGATGCAATTTATTGTTAATTTTCCTGTCTTTTGTTATTTTTACCTCTCATTTCTTTGATATACTGTACTTAAATCCAGCTGAGTCAAAGAAACCAGCATTTCACATTATCCTTTCAAGATTGAGCGTTTTCATTGATTTTTAAACAGCACTGTTTTGTGTGGAACCAGGTGCCATTAAATGTCATT